TTTTTTTTTCGGCAAAAATTTTGTTTTTTTGAAAATTTTGGCCCGTTTGACCTTAAAATAAAGGTCAAAGGTCAAATCCAAGGGCATATTTGAAATCTACACATATGACTTTTGGAAAGCTGTCTGTAGAAATTTTTCCCATAATTCCTTCTGTAGGGGAGATAATTAGCATTTAATTTTGCCATTTTTGGACAAGGGTGCATTGCAATGAGTGCCACACCTAGACCCCAATACCGACAAAGCCCAAATTTTACGTGGAACGAGTTGAGATTATAGGTGACCTAAATCCAAGAGATGGGTATGGAGGCCCTTACCGTCTAGGAGGAGAAGCGGTAACGGTGACTTGGCGGCGGAGCCGCAGGAGCCGCAGGAGCCGGCGGAACATACGGGTCGGGACTAAAACCATGTGTACCGCCAGCGCCTACGCTGGTGGTACAATAACTACAGGGGGTGCTACCATGTCACAACCAATGTCAGGAGCAATGGCAAGATTTAAATAATGCAAGTTACATTTTACGTGTTGCTCATTGAAATATTTTGGTGTAAATAACGTATGGTATTTATTATCAAACTGGTTATTCTATTATTACCATATCAAAATCACTCAGATCTGTGTCAAATATTTCCGTGCTCTTGGTGGCGCGCATCCATGTTGAAAAGGTGTTTTTGGTATTTACTAACTGGTTGATGAATTCCTTTTCTATATAAAAAATCAAAGCAGGAAATTAAAGTATGTTTAACCGAGTACCAAAATAATGTGGACTATGTTCTGTGAGCAAGAGACCAGATAAATTATAACAGAAATGCATAATATTTATATAAGGATTGACAAAAATTAGACACAAAAGATTTGTTCGCCCTTTCTCTGCTTTCTTACCTCGGAAAGGACAGATGAATCTGCAAACCCAAACCTACAAAGAGATGAAAGATAAATTCACAAAGATTTTATATCATACATTTGTTGTTATCTTTTTTATTAAAATTTGTTAATACATCTATTTTTACTGAATGCTCTTTTATCATTTGAAACGGAAGTGATATAAATTATGTTGTATATTGAAAATAAAACATTTCTTAAATGATCCTTGCAACAGTAAATTACTTAAAGCTTTAATTAGCACAAATAACTTGGTAACTGTATTAAGATGTTTGTAACTATCTCACACTGTATCACTGATTGTCTTGCTTTAAGTTACAGCTAAACACTCGTGTTTCAGTTAAAATCAATTAATTATTATCAAAAAATCTCAAAAAGATCAATAATCTCCCACCAGTCGTCTGTAGTATCCACCCAGTCGGCGGACATCAAGTTCATCTTCTGCTCTGAAGAATTTCCCCCTTCCTGCCTTGGCAGCGTTCTCTAGAAACACCTGAAGATACATTGGTTAGCTAGAAGAATGTTACGTTTTAATTCTAAGTGTCACGCAAGTTTAGCCATTTCTTCCCTATTATAATCAAATGCATTATCCTGCTCAGGAAATAAACGATAATTACATATCCCAAACAAATAGGCCAGTTTGTTTGAAAAAAAAAGTTTTGCGGATTATTAGTTTAATTCGAACTAAAAGAAAGAATAAACAATTTAAAACATCACTTATGCCTACCCTGTCACATTTTTTTCCACATCCAATGAAATTTATCCTGGCTTGGAGTGACACAGGTTCATTAAATGGACGCTGGACAGCAGTCATGACTTTATATTTACCCTGAAGACAAATATTAATATATCCATGAAGCAACAGTGAAGATACACTATCTCCTGAAACTGTTTAATAGATGGCTGGCAAATGACCGTGGACTCACTAATAATGCCATTGTTAGAAACAGATGCTAAACAATTCATGGAATATCCATTATTCCAACCCTACACATTCCATATATAGTCCGGTTCCAATTCATTTTTAAATGGTAAGCCTCACCCTAAATTTTAACCCACTTAGGTCAAGCTAACCCTAACCATTATAACAAAATGGAGGGCGGACTTCCTGTTACGCAAACCTCAGTTTTGTTATGCCCGCTACTTGGTAAGTACTAGTTGAAAGATGAAATCTCCAGATAATGGCAAAATAATATAAACCTGTCAAGTGAAAAAGTGACCATGAAAATTCATATCTTTGATATTATACAACACCAAGTCTAGTCAGTTGCTCCATCCCGGGGGCTAACGTCCCAAACGTAACATAAGAGCATGTTATCTTAGCAAATACCACAAGTCACATACCGCTGTGGACGCCCTGGTTAAGTCAACAGTGCTCCCATAGTCATTCTCATCCGTTGGTATGCCGTCGGTGAAAACCAAAAGCCTGGATGGCACCATCTGTCTGCTAACTACCAGGACGCTAGCTACAATAATTATATGACATTACCAAATGTACTTAGAATAAATACTATAAAATGGTAATAATTCTGATAAAACATTTACAGGTTACAAATAAAAACGTGGGACTCAACAGTTTTAATGTAAGCCGATAACAGGTTTAGCCTAATAACAACAACTATTCAGAATTTTGAACAATAGTCGCGCGTAATACACCTACGTAATTCATGTACGTGTATGGCTTGATATGGGACTACAGTCCTTGAAAATGAAGACCTATATATGTAAAATGGTCCAGTGAACATACCCTCTACCAGGGCCACATACTGATTTTTCACTAAATATTAACAGATATGTCTCTGGTTAAATAGATGTCTATATTCTCTGTTCTGTTAGTCTCAGCAATAATGTCCATGGAATAATAACTTCGGCCCTGGTAGAAGGTAAAGTATATGGGTTTGTACAAATCTTGCAACTGAAAATGAGGCATAACTTACAGTGTCGCTTTAGTTCGTGTACGGCCTCCCTGATGCCTGTTGCTAAAGGACTCATTCCGCTTGGACTCAGACGATCTGGAATAAATATCAATTCTTTTGTTATCATTTAGAAATATGCACTTGCCATTCGACAATTTTGGTCCTCTCTCTCTCTCTCTCACATACACAAACCTTTTTTATCATTGACACAATACATCACAAATATATGAAAATACAAAAAGGTTCGAAACAACACTCACACACAAACTCACACTTAAGAGAAAATATGTTAAGGTACATGTATGATACTTTAATTAATTATATCGTTGTATGCTAAATATTCAGGCTCAAAATAAATTACTTATATTTGAAGTGTACTTACAGAGTGACTTATACCTGTTTTAACCAGATATCTAAGTGATAAAATCACCCCTCCCAAAGTTGGTTTGCCCTCTGTACACTTTCTTAAGTAAATATAAAATTTAAATTGCAATATAATGAGATTAATCTTTGGAGAGAGGCTTGTAGAGCCAACTAAGCAATTATTTTTTGAGACAGGTAAAATAACTTGAATATTGGATAAAAAAATATTCTGCCAAACCAGTCAATAATTTTTGGGAAACCTTGCAATGCCAGAATACCATGTTCTCTCCTGCACCTACCTAGTGCCCTTCTTATCTGGTTATAGTTGTCTGTTAAACTCACAACAGTATGACCGTCTGACCCGGACCCACACTGTACAAGCCCAATCAACTCCTTGAATTCATACACATTGTGCGTGTACTCTGCGTCTGCAATACAATAAGGAATCTTCCTATTAATTCAATTATTGGTTTTGTTTAAATTCCAATTAATTTCAATAAAAATGAAATATGATTTTAAATGCACGTATAAACATCTTCAGACAAAGCTTTTAGTATGAACATTTCAGATAAAGTAAGTGCACAGAATGACTAGAAAAGCACTCAGAGAGTGCAAACCTCCACCAAGGAAGCAAAGTCTCCATCCAATGCCTTTCCACCCCTATATTTTCATTCTAAAATGATTTATTTTTTTTTGATTATTGATTGATTATTGATTTGGATCACTGCCAAAAACTAATCATCTGTTCCTTGGCCCACTTCTGACAGTTCCTGTAAATTTCATCAAAATCAGTCCATAACTTGTTTTTTTATTTTTGATTGGTTATTGATTATAGATTGACTATTGATTCAGATTACCACCAAAAACTAATCATCTGTTCTTTGGCCCATTTCTGACAGTTCCTGAAAATTTCATCAAAATTGATCCATAACTTTTTATTTTTAATTATTGATCCAGATCAGCACCAAAAACTAATCACTTGTAAGTTAACTCATTTCTGACCTACACTAAAAATTCCATCCAAATTCATCCATAACTTTTTGAATTATGCTGATGACAAACAAACAGGGGTAAAAACATAACCTTCTTGGCGGAGGTAATAATTGTATTATGAAAGTTTTTAAATAGTTTATTAGTTCTTAAATGTACCCTGTATATATTCTAGAAAGAAGACACATTAAACAGTGTGTCACAATAAAGACCACATATGTAACATCTTATGTGGGTATCTCACCATCAAGAATCTTGTGTATTGCATTTTTCATGTCAGTGAAAGCTTCTCCTTCCATACTCCCAGAAGTATCCACACAAATCACTGTACTTAAACCATGAACCCGCTCTCCATATACGCGACCTCCATGGAAATCACCTGTTTAGCAAAATATACAGATGCTAAAATAATATAGCACATAATTCATCGTACACAAACCAACACTTGCAAAAATGGAATAAAACATAGTAAACTGAGGGCCAAAATTACCCAAAAAATGTCCCCTATTTTTCAGAAAATTCCATACCAAACATTTATGTTTGTGAAACTTTGAGTCAACAGCAGCAGATTTGGTGTTAACTATGAAAACTCTATGCACGTATTATACTACTGTAAAAGAGAACGAGAATAACAAGCCATGTTTAATATGGGAAACTGCTTCAACTTAGATACCGTTCACATTCAACGTTTATTTTCTAAAAATCTATTTTCTATTCGCGGTATCTTGTGATTACTCTGAGTGCAGCGGAGAATTAATTACAGCTTTGGAAGTAACTGGGTCGTGCTGCCAGTAATTACGCTGTGAGGTATTTTAGGGCACAGACTGTGATCACAAGATACAGCGAATAGAAAATTGATTTTTAGAAAATAGATTTTTCATATGAACGGGCCCTTACTATCATCATACACTGGCGCTGAGTGTCTACCACTTGCTTGTGAGTCACTCTCTTTTGCCTGGTCCAGATCAACACTGGCATTTTTCTGAACACCATCTTTATCAGTGTTGTATCCACCTGTGCTTCCCATTGGCAGTTGCGTATCTGACTCTATCCAAGGACGTATTTTATCATCCACCTTACTACCACACACTGGCTCTGTGTGTCCTCCACTTGCGAGTGATTCAATCTCTTTTAGCTCCTCCACATCAACAATAATATTTTTCCGAGTGTCACCCTTATCATTGTTGACCTCACCATTGGGAGCATTCATTGGCGGTGCTATTTGCGAATCTGGCCCTATCCGATGAGCCCCAAGTTCTGGTTTGTTGTCTATGTTATGGTGGTCTTCTTCTGCAACACGATGCTGCTGGACTTTATACGTAATTAATGAATCTTGATGTTGATTCATTATATTAACCAATGCATCTTCTGCTTTTTTCAACTTATGCTCTGTTTTTGACAATTTTGTAATCAACTGTGATATTTGACCATTTTTGTATGTTATAAGTTTGTGGAGTCTTTCTATTCTGAAATCTTTCTCGTCATAGCCAGTAAAAGTCTGTGGAAACTTCACAGTGAGCAAAGGAAGGGGGTCATAATATCCACTCTCATATGCCCACTCAAGAAGAAGTTTTGGATTAACTTCCATTTTCAGTTCGCCGGTAATGTCTAGCCACGACAAGCTTTGATTGTGCTCTTTCAGTGGGCGTTTACCAAAGTTTAAGTCATCTGACGTCATCGGCAGATCACCTAAAATAATACCGTGGATTCTAATATCCCACGTTGTACTTTTACTATTCACCATCTATTTTATTCTCAGTATTGAATATAATGAATGCCTTTTTTCATTTATATTGAAAAGCCATTATTTTAGTTCAATGTTCTCTGGGAGCACCAGCTAACTTGTGTTAGTGACTTCCGTATGAGAAAGTGACTGGTATCAGAAGTAAAAACTACTAAAATATCAAAATTGACATTACAAAAAATTGAAAAATAGAAGTTCCAATTAATGCAGATGGGAGAACTTTACTTTTGGCTGTTGAATTACGCATACTGGACACTTACCATGAAGCAATCTACGCCTCTTCTTCAAATACTCATCCAGATCCATGTTTGTACTCAAAGATAAGACAAGATTTTCTGGAACCATACTTCGAATTTCCTCAGTCAGAATGACCTCGGTCAAGGACGTTGATAAAGGTGAAGGTCGCCGACTTTTAACCCACATCCAGAATGCATCTAATTGTTCGACAGTGTAAAACTTCATATTTATCAAAATGGATCCTCTCGATAAACCAGTGACCATCAAGTTCCATTCTGCCAAGGCGTTTCGTATGGAGTCTACCATCTGTCTGCTTATGTCAGGGTTATTAAATATGTATTCATCAACAGTGTGTGATACTATTTGAGCATCTTCTGATGTTTTCCTTTCTTCCAGAATACCAACTATAGCCCTAATATGTCCAGTAACATCATTGGGTTTTCCTAAAAAACCATGGAAGAAATATTGATGGATTTAATATGCTTATCTATAAAAAGACGATAGCTCATCTCTGGCATATGGTAATGTTAACTGGATCTTTATCAATGGCAAACAACCTGTTGTTCAGAATTCGACTCATGTAATTTTGTTTATTAATTCAAAAACTACCTAAGGGTGGTAAAAATCATCTGCAGGACACTGAAACTGTGGATAAAATTACCAACTATGAGCAAGTTCTCTGTTAATAAGCCCCCTCTGGTTTAGGTAAATGTTTTTTTCTAGAGAACCCTGCTAAGAAAGCAATTACTGAGATTAAAAATCAGCTTACCAAGTAGCTGGTCAACAATGAACTCGCAGTGGTTATCTTCTAATGCCTGCATAAAGAACCAGAATGCTTTCTCGCTGGAGTGTAACAGGACATTTGTCACTAAATGCTCACACTTGTCCGTCTCAGTGCTTTTACTTGCAATTATTTCTCTATGGCGATCAGACAGAACCAAGTGGCTGAACATATAAAGTGCCACATCATCAATAACGGGGTGAAGATAACGTATCAAATAGGGAAGATTTTTTGTGAGAGCCTCTTGGTTTTGCTTCTCCAAAGCCTTGTTTCCATCTAGAAGTAAAAATATGCACAAACTTGTAATATACCTTTAAAAAAAGACGCAGAGGCAGCACTAGCCATTTGGTTGTTTTAACTTGCCATTTTAGATGTAAACGACTACATATACATGCAAAATGAAGGTGGATATGATAATTTGGCTGCTGAAGATATGATAACTAATAATCTGGTCAAAAGACGTAACACAGTCAACAAACCATCAACAAGTCTTTGCTTAGTACAAGCACCAAAATTGCCATACATAAATGACGGCTCTTTGACATACCATAAAGGTTAATAAGCTATAATTACAAACCTTCAATGTACTTCTTGAAGTCACGTTTAGTGTTGGTGGATTGTTGTTGCATTCCATTACAATGGAGTTCTCCATTTTTTCTCTCTGCTTCCTCTCTTGCAGTACATTTTGCACAGCAGTTTTCAGGAATCCGTGGTGTTTGTGGAACATTTTGAGTCAGGTTGAGTCCTGTACCACTGCTACAGTCACCACCAGGAGGCTAAAATATATACACCATGAAACATGTTCTACAATAATATCTTTAAATATTGTGTTTTAATGTATTAATAACTTAAAGAAATGAGAATGTTAATCTCTTCAGGTTATGGATTTACCCAGTAGCATTATCAAAAAAAAAAAAAAAAAAATCTAAATGATAAATTCAAACATTTTTGCTGAAAAAATATTCCTAAATAAAACACCATGTCACCATTATGATATGACCTTTTTAAAAGACGTAACTATACCTCATTTCCAGGTGGTTCAACTGCAGTTTCTTCACTCAAATTCTTTGGGATAGTATCATCATGTAACCCCTAAAAAACGGCCAAAGTTCTAAACATTAACCACATAACCTTGCTGTTTTTTCTTTTCATTCTGATGTTATGTACAGCACTTGGTTTACAGTCAGTACAGGAACAATGTTTACGAGGAACATTCAAACAAAACAGCATTTACCTGTAATATTACATTTCACTTACTTTTGCAACTAATGACTGCAAATATGCATTAGTTTCCTACATCAATTTTGAATCTCAAACACAAACTATTACTCTTCTCTCGTAATCTATGGAACCCTATATTATCACAAAATCAGATGACTTTATTACTATGTTAAATTATTCCAAACATAAAATTTATTTAACATGATGCTTTTCTAGAGGAGCTCTAGCTTCACTATTGCCTGATAACCCCCATGGTAGATAAAATAGGAAAGACACATTACATTTTTTCAATAAAAAAAAGCATATATTTCATTCTTGAATTAAAAAGGTATAATTCTAATTATACCTCGTCTCCTGTTGGTTCGTCTCCTCCAACTGCTGCACTAGCGACACCTTTTGGGGTAGTTTCTTGTCTTGCAGTTTCTCCATTCGATCTTTTTGGGACCGTGTTATCATTGAATCCCTGTCAATAACAAACATACACGTATATACACAAATATATTCATTTTAAAGAGATATATTTCTCCTACGCCAAGAAAGTTGGTTTTTGCCAGCTTTGGTGTGTCTGAGTGTTTGTTTGTTAGCAATATGAAAAATGTTATGAACTGATTTTGGTGAAGTTAATCAGGAAAGGTTTAAAATGGACATATATAAGGGTCATTAACTTTTAGGGGTAGCCTGGATCATGTTCTGGTTCCAAGAATCTTTTAAAGGTTCCTTTACCATTTAACATTATTGTGTACACATTGTTACTCCTTAAATAATGCCAAGAATCATGAGCAATGGTTGAGGAGAAGATGAAAAAAAATTCTAATAAACGGGAAAGTTTAGAAAGATGATCTGTTATTGATCGTAACTGCATGTGTAATTAGACTTGGGCTGGTCTCTAACACCGCATTCACAACGAGCCAGGCTTTACAAATCCTGGGACTAAATATGGCTGACGTACATGAAAGGAAAACCGCCTAATCTTTTAATAGTCTCTCCACCTCTCACACGCCCTCCACACGTCGTCCCTGCGGGGTACAGTCATTAAATCTCGGCTCTGTTCGCCATGCGGAAGCTACCTGAGAAATATTAAGTGCGCATGCTCATCAATTAAACTCGAGGTAAAGAAAGCATGGCGGCTGGAGGCGATCGAAGGAAAAAAGCTCTTCTGTTCCATTATCTCTCAAAACAGAGACAAAAAAGAAATGAACTGGCCTGCGTAGAGCAGCAATGAATCGGCTATCGACGGAGATAATGTCACCAGAGATATTCACGGAGATACCCAGCCCCAGTAGACGGAGGAGGAGGGCAGAATTTTTGCGTATGCAGTCTCGTCAGAGAGCGCAGTTTGTTCTGATGCTGATGTTTGCCTTGGTCCCTACACCTGATCGAACTGGAAGGGGGGGGGGGGGTTCACGATCTTGATCAATTCATTTCTTTTTCTCAGGTAGCTTCCACATGGCAAACGGAGCTGAGATTTAATGACTGTACCCCGCAGGAATGACGTGTGGGGAGGCATGTGAGAGGCGGAGAGACTATTAAAAGATCAGGCGGTTTTCCTTTCATGTACGTCCGCCATATTTAGACCCAGGATTTGTAAAGCCTGGCTCAAATCGTTGTGAATGCGGACTAAGTCCTTTTCCAATCTTTTCACTATTTGAAACTTGTAAACTGAACTGTGGCAGTATTATGAAAGTGCTTTTGCAGACATAAACTCAAAAAGAATCCTAGAATAATATTTTGTGTCACTATTGTGTGAGTGATAATATCAAGACGCATGTTAAAAATAAAGGAAATTTTTTTTTTCTACCTCCTGATCCCTGTAGTGCTCAACCATTCCTGGGCTGAAGCTAGGGTTTGCATCAACGTGTTCATTCCCCTCCCCCAACGGGTTAGGTCTGTTTGCTTCACTTTGTGGCTGTATCTATTTTTGAAAATGAATAGTATGTTACTTCTGCCCAAGAGTATGATAAAACATGACATGACAAGCTATACTTGTGTCTATATGTAATTTGAAAGAAAATGATCATATTTAAAAATTATATGTATACATTGTAGAATCAAGGAAAATCTATCAAATGAAGAGAATGACGTAAGCTCTTTAATAATAATAATAATAATAATATTTATTTCACTACACTACCGTCTCAGTGCTGTTTACAGATAAAATTAGCATGATTACAACTAATTATATAGATAATAAAAGCTAAGGTAAAAAAAAAAACTCGATCTTGAGATCAATTAAGGCCATAAAATAATAAATCAGGAGATTCGAGCACTGCGGCAATGAAGAACAGTTTGCCCCCTCACCCACGGACCACTAAACCTGAACTTATACATACATTAGCAGTGCATGACTCTTGCTGTATGCGGGAACCTTTTCCTTCTCTTCTAGGGTTGAAGGAGTTGCTTTCCACAAACACGTCTGTGCTTGCTTGTTCTATTCATAAAAAAAGTATTGCATTAATGACAAACTTATTGGAGGTTCATACTTCAGTTTTGCAAATATGTGTTAAGATCAGATACTTACTGAGATAACAACTGTTCATTTTGACCAAAATAAAAAAAAAGGATTTTCCTGGGGTAAATTTCCCTTGGTAAAACGGATAACAACGCTGGTCACTACAGTACACAGGTCATCAAGTTATAACAGACCTTAAGAAAATAGGAAAATAGGTAAAAAATTTGAAAAAATAGGAATTTTATCAAAAAAATAAAGGAAAAAATAGGAATTATTCTAAAAGAAAGACAACTTCCCAACACCTCTAAAACCATGCCTGTGTAATACAAATCTTAAACTGTAGTAAATAACACTATTTAGTGTAACAACAATAATTTATCTATTACAAAAAACAACATAAAATACTAAAGGCTCTGTCGCACCTAGCTAAATAGGTACATGTGTGTATAAGTGATAGATACAATACGAGTCGCCGAGCTGTACGTGAAATATTACGAGTGTATTGGCGAGCCGCAGGCGAGAAAATACACGAGTAATTTTCATGTACAGCTCGGCGACAAGTGTTGTATCTGGCTTAAACCACGGCCATTGGCTACTACACTAGTAGACTAGTAGTGCAACAGACCGTGGAACGCACTCGTACATGACGTGCTTGTACGTCAAACACAGCATGGCCAAGTCTTTTGTTCTACGTGCTAGCCGTGGTTTAAGTGATAGATACAATACGAGTCACCGAGCTGTACATGAAATATTATGAATGTATTGTCGAGCTGCAGGCTTAAACCACCGCTTCTGATTGGCTACTACACTCGTGAGTGATGGGAGTGCAACAGACCGTGGAACACACTCGCACATGACGTGCTTGTATGTCAAATACACCAACGACCAAGTCTTTTGTTCTACGTGCTAGCCGTGGTTTAAGTATAGTATTTGATCAATTGTATGCAAAACTTTGAGGCTAGTCTATGTAATCATCATTTCCAGGATATTAAAAAGATTTAAGCAGCGTATGAAATTGTTTTTTAACATGCCCAAAATATTTTATCTCCCTCTGATTACGTGAACATAAGTTACTCTGAAGTATCAAATAAACGTACCGGTACGTTAATTAATTTTCCAAATTTCTTCCCGCCGGTACGCTGCATTTTCACCCAGTACGCTTATTAATTTTTCGAAAATCTTCCGCCCGGTATGTTTATTAAATACCTATTGTACCGGTGGGAAATTACACAAGTACAAGTCACGCTTTTCATTTTCTTAAATTGAAGTATAATGAGAAGAAAATCGAGATCTCAACTCATTACCTACTGTTCTACAGGTCAGCACTAGATGATAGACGGCAGCGGGACGGAAGTGAGTAATGCAACATGGCAGCCCCCAGCGCCGCTGCAATCGGCAATCCTCGGCTCATTCCGCAAGCTCCATACTAACCATACTTATTGTCGAGTGCGGAGACATCCGAGTAGTTCCGAGTGGCGCTGCCGAGACATTTATAGGATGTAGTTTTACAGCAAAATATCTAGGAAAATATACATGTATGCTATATCCCTAGGGATTCTTTATTGATACACCTTCACAAATAAGGTACAATCAAAGACAGTACACCTAAATATAGCAGAGTACAAACAAGTTAATGAATAAATATACATGATTTTGATGCGATAATAGATGAATACGTGTTTAAAAAAGGGCCGAAGTACATGTACAATCATAGAGGTAAAACAGACAACTCCAGCTACAGATACGTAAATTTGCAGGACATGGAAACGCATTTAGACCCAATTAGATAAATGTATAATAATACTAATAAATGAGTTTATAAAGTGATATATATAAAATGTGTAATATGATAATTTACAGGCGATGAATTTAAATACATTCACTGAAAAGAGTACAATGTATTAAGAGAGGGTTTGTTCCCCTTGTTGGAAGCATCTATTTACAAAACGCATAACCATTCTAAGAATATTTAAATCTTGAGCACCCATAAGAAAATTAAACAGTTCATTAAAGCTGAAGTCGCCTAGGGGTAGGAACTCTGACAGCTGCCCTCTGAAGGGATCACGTATTGAATCATATGCTTTGCACTTTAGCAGGAGGTGGAACTCATCTACTTTATTCAAATCGCAAAACTTACAAAATCCTAGGTATAATACGATTAAAAAATAAAAAGATACATAAAAAAGTAAATAAAAATTATATGCTATATTCCTAGTTATTATACGATAAAAAAACAATTGAACTGTGTTTACATCATTCGACTATCAGCCTTAGCATCTCGTCGCTAGGGGCCGCCATGTTACATTTCTCACTTCCGTCCCGCTGCCGTCTATGATCTAGTGCTGACCCTGTAGGATCATATTTATAGCTAAGTGCAGCAAAGAAGCTGTGTCTGTTTTCAAACGTCAATTATTTCATGCCGATTTATGATTTAAACGATGTTAAATCACATTTCTATGTAAGATAAACCCTTAAGACTTTTACAGGTATGCAAAACGAACCTTATATCTGAGAATAAATTTACTCTGAATCGTCTCCGTATGGCTCTCGGAGGCGGCTTAGGTGCGATATATCTGGGTCTTCGGACCCTGACGATTATGAAATTTAGGCCACACTTTTTTATTTTTATGGATGACATCCTCTGGGGACCCCAAAATCGGTGCGAGAGGGTGAAAAAAAAAAAAAAAAACAGTCCAAAAAAAAAAAAAAAAACTGCTTAAGAAAAGTTATGTTTTCAGTACACAGCTGGAAACACTAATTTACCACAGAAACTAAAACAACATGTCTTTATCCACATGTCTTTATCCATGCTCTCAAAATATTAAAGCATTGTGAATAGGGCCTACTTCGTAGAAAGGTAAAAAGTCATGAATATATATATGCTGCATATTACCAAATCTATTTAAGGTTATTTCATGCATTCTGTTGGTATAGNGGGGGAGTGGTGTAAAGGTTTTTTCCACCAAGTACTTTTATTCCATCCAGTACTTTTATTAAATTTCGAGATTTTTTCCACCCAGTACTTTTATTCCATCAGTACTTTTATTAAATTTCGAGATTTTTTCCACCCAGTACTTTTATTCCATCAGTACTTTTATTCAATATTTCAGAGTAACCAATGTTTGTCTACATATGAATCATTTTTTTTCTTATATGTTAGTGCTTAACACTGTGTCAGTGCCTTAATTAAGTTCTGCCCAATAATTTTAAAATTCACTTCATATGTAGTCCAAACAATGTAAACAGTCAAAAACATGTTTCAACATTTTTTTATTACTCAACCTGTATTTTAGTAACCATGAATGTAAACTTGTAGACAATAGGCCTACATGCATGTACTATAATATTTGCCTAAAAAACTACTTAACTTTACTTCCAGAAAAAATTGCAATCAGGCCATTTTCAAACCGTTACAGCTGTATTACAGTTCTATAAATCTTTTCTGTAATTTTGAGATTCATCACAGCATCAGTACCCAAAATGGAATTTTTCTTCAACTTTGATGGCATGCTATATTACATAGTGCTTACCACCATGATCACCACCAATTTTTAATTATGTATTGCAGGTAATACAAATAAATGGAAAATGTGATTAGCAAAGGTGTTCAGGTCCATGAAAATAATTTGATCAGGCTTTTTTTTCAAACTCAACCTGAATAAGTAATATTGATCACTCCTGTAAGTTTGAAGACAATAGGTCGACCAATTTTACACTTTATGTGTTATCTGTATTGCATGTGTACATAAAAAAGGACCCAAAAAAGCATAATATTTGTAAAAATGCTCCAATAGAGCCAATTTTTGAACTTGACCTGTGTTTCAGTAAATGGCCCTATCATGCTGATTTTTTAACTCGATCTGTATTTTATGAATATTCATCAGTTCGGTAAGGCTGATGACAAAAGGCAAAAAGGTTTCCCACTTATCATATTATCACTGAAAGTGCATGGTGACTGGATTTTACTTGAAATATAGTGATGCTCATTTCAAGTAAGATCCAGTTTCAGATTCACTTTTTTTACATTATCCTTATTAAAATACAACTGAATGAATCAAAACATTCACTTTGAGTTTAATATTGACTAAGGCATCCTCATTTTATTGTCCCATAACCAACATGACTTGACACATAACATTATTTTTAGACCAAAAAATAGGAAGAAAATAGGAATTTTCTCTAGAAAATAGGAAAAAATAGGAAGATCTCCAAAAAAATAGGAAAAAATAGGAACTTGATGCCCTGACTACATGATAGTCCTGCAATATCAGGAAATCGAGTCAAAGGAATAAGTGGGGCATCTGGAAAATCTGGTTTTTGATCTTTTGCTTTACCAGTATTTCCAAAATTTGTACAGACTGATGAAGAGTGTCAGGAAAAGAAAATTACCGGTTGGTATATCAAGGGAAAATGTCGTTTACCCTGGAAAAACATATTAAATGTGCCTTTTTGGTGGGAAAATACTGCCTTGATAGGCCTTAATCTTTAAAACTATACTTTCCCTCCTAAAGAATAGTTTACACACTATGGGGAAAATTGAAGCAATGTTTTGCTTATATTGTGCTTATATTTTGCCTATATTTTGCTCTTATTATGATTAAATTATATTTGCACAATGGAAAAAGTTGGTCAAAAATAAAATTCCCTGATATTATAAAGGAGAATCTATATTATCCCCATCTCTCCGAACGACGTCTCTCAACTTACCTGTACCTGGCTCATTTGCACTACACGTCGAACCAGCGGGTTGAATATGCCTGAAAAAAGAGGATTGGAAACTTAGAAAAGTCAAAAATAATCCCTCGGTTTCATTTTAGGTAGTATAAATGAAAGAAATGACATTTTTTCATTTTCAAAAGTAAGATTGTATATGAATTGTCCCTTTATCTGTTGACCACAAAATAATGTAAATTAAAAGCTTACCCCATGGTGTCAACAATATTGTCTGCTTTTCTATCAGTTTCACTTTCTGCGAAAAAAAAAAAAAACTCAAATGTAGAATAATACAGACAACTATTAAACATAAATACAATTTAATTGAACACTTAATAAAACTAAAGTTTAATTCATCAAAGTTCAACGATTGCACTTAAAAACATAATAATGTGTTCATATGCCCGTAACCAATGTGTAAAATTAAAACATGATGTAATGTTTTACCTGATTCCAAATCGGTATCGTAGAGGCTTTGCCATTCCAGAAGAGTACGTTTTAAATTGGCAATTTCATCTTCAACTCTCGTTATTCTTGTCTCTCTCTCTTCGTACTTTGGCAGAAGTGAACTGAATTGCTGTATTTGTGTGGCATTTTCTGTAACCTGACTTTCAATGCTTCGTATTTTAGCTTGTAAAGCAGGTAAGTTGAGTTCCCCTTCCCAACCCATCCGTGTTGTGCGGGAGATCGCATACTTCAAATAGTGAAAAACTTAATAATTAAGAATAGTCATAAAATTACTAAGACTAGATAAGAGAAGCAATACTGCCCTCTGGATATGTACCACCAGCTGGGTTAAGTACATAAAGAGGAAAAACCACACATTAAAAAAAGGTTTCTGCCTTTCACAGTGTCCAAATTAGATGACGTTTTCAGTTTCAGCATTAATAGCTGCCTCTACTGTGAAAATGTACCAGCAGACACTATACAAAAGCAGAAAAGAGACTAACTAATGTAAGTTGGCCTTTGAAGTGTCTTTAAATCAGCAAAAAACATTTTTACAGTAATAAAATTAATAATATTTTTCTGACCAATTGGGTCTATGCTTTGTTAATGGCATAATGTGCATGTTAACTGGCCAAGTATTTTACAGGTGAGCTGAAAGTTTGTTGGTATGGCACGTGTAATTAAAGAGGGGATGTCATAGGTCAAGGCATATACCGGTAATTATGCCATTTTTTTTAAAGGTGTGTTGAATGAAATGTAATTGGGATATGGTCCAGGCCAGGTAGTAAGTGGACCAGATTGGGATCTGGCCTAAACATGCTGTCTCGGCTGTTACACCGGGCTTGCGACGGATTTGAAAGCAAATTATATTGCTGTCCACCATCGCCCCCTAGCTGTAGCTTTCCCACTTTCACCAGTGATTGACATTGCAGTTTCGCTGGGTTGTTTTGTTATGTACATATTTGTGAGAGTGGACCCAAATTTATTCTCCAACTGTTCATAAGCCCTGCAGTTACAGGGGTTTAAACAACTGTCTGAACTCAAACTACGCGTCTATATATACCCAGTAGCTAGTTCTGGCTCTAGAAATTAAGGTAAGACCTACCACGCTAGGCTGAGACCTACGTGTACGTACATTGTAGGTCGGTAGGGTCTCTGTTATTTACTACATTACTCCTTATTTCCTGGAATTCCAAACCTTAGTTTCACTTGTACGCATATACTGTATTTCCAGCTAAGAAGCGCTGGTCGAACTCCTCGTCGACCTAAACCTGAGTCTTCTAACGTTACAAACAACTGAAAACACAAGTTATCTAACAAATATCAACTAGCACTGCGGGTACGTTGTATGTTTTGTCAAAAGCGATGGGTAGACGCCACCTGTGTACTCACCATCATCACGGAAGGGTAAAACAAAACAACTTTCTGTTTCACAGCAACTATTTGTGACAGGTAATGGGGATTTTTTTTACGGCATCCGGGGCCTTCTGCAGTGGAGGCGACTTCNAGGGTGGCCTACTTGTGCGAATGCAAAAAAATCTTTATTACAACAGAAAAACAATCAAATGCACAAACATATGAATAAGTTGTTACAGTTTTCCAGTTTTATGCAATCCATGTTTGCAAACCTCTTATTTTTTTCAACAGTGCAAATAAAAAATGTTTTTTCTCATCTGATTTGCTTATACACTTTGCCTTATGCAAGTTATATATTGGTTTTGGATTATTTCAACATTGCAGTCATGTAGAATTTATGCCCACTGAAATACATGGAGTCTGTAACATGCCTGGGAATCATTCAAAATGTTCAGTGATGTTTGTCAAAGTTAGCAGACATGCTACCGATGGCTCAGATGCAGTAAAACTACCGCTGAGGAGGAGTTGAGGAATACTTTCGTGTTACCAATGTCAATTAACATTGACCTCCTAATTCACAGAGGCCAAGGGACTCTGCTACTTCTGGAAGTCAGAAACGTGGTCCTCTCCTGCTAAATCATAGATAACCTGAAGTATTTTATCACATTTGTAAAGGAGACCGGACATAATTAAGTACAATTAAAGTAATAACAAGTCAGGTGACCAAAGGCACCTGTCCATCAAAACTAGTGTTATCCAATAGAAATTTGGACAGCCTCCACCTTCCATGTAACATAGATAAAAATATAGGAACTGACCATAGCCGGCAGTTGAGAGAATTTGAGTGAAGGAGGCAGTTGAAAGAACACGAGTAAAGGAAGCAGTTGAAGGTACTAAGCTTGAAAGGGAAGAAACTGCCAAGTAGAAGTTGAGCACAGTTGCTGAGGAGGACACATTTAGACCTACTTAGAGAAGGAGAAAATTATATCTGAGAACTGTGTAACAAGAGTACATAAATAAACCTTGTATTCAACCCACCAAAATAGTCATCTTGCTGTCTAAAAATACAATAGTTCCCTTGCTCAGTTATACCAATCAAAATCTGTGGTGTTCAACTTTTGGTGTGAATTTTAAGTTAGTCACGCTTAATAATCAGCACAATTTTAAAGATGTCATAATACACGTACTAAAATTAGTACTATCTCTATAATCAGCACTATCAATGTCATTGTTGTATTACATGGTGACCCCCAAATAGAGAAGAACCTATAATTTTTTTTTTTAATTTCTACGAAGGTTTTTTCCCTTGGTTGATTAAGAGATGTTGGAAAGATTATTGTTCCAATATTTCAAGTACTAACTAGATTTGTACAGTATACCCTGAAAGAGAGAGAAAAAATGTCTTGTGGGTTCTATTTTTTCAGTTATTTCTACTGTCAGGCCATGTTAAAATTATTTACACATTTTGAATTTCGTTTTAAAACTTGCAATAACAGTTTACAATGAAATTTCATATTTATTAATGTAACGCCAAAGTCGTATCACGTTTTAATCAATGATAATATTAATAATATGTTTCTGATGCAGATTCCTCATCAGGAATTTTTCCATGCAGTGAATCTTAGCTTGTGAATGAAGCTAATGACTGAAGACTAAAATGTAGGCCTGCAACAAACGAAGAGGAATGATATTTCACAACTATTGCAGCAGTTTTGTAAACCCAAAGGTACTGTACCAGTACCTTGTACATGTAGGGCCTGAAACCTGAAATGTATATACATGTACATGTAGGTGAAATAAGAGTAACGTATTCTGTAATGTACACATGAATAAGAATTGTTTTTATTTTTTTGTACATAATCCTACGGCTAAACTGTAAATCCTTGTATTATGTGGTTTGGGGTCAATCATTCTGCAAAATGAAACATACGCTTTCAAATATATATATATTATATAATCATATATATATCTTCACTATCAACTAGCCAAAGGTCACAGGGTGGATTTTCCATATTTCCCTATATAACCTGCCGCACTGGTAGAGGGTACCGTTTGTCCAAAATTTGCAAAGGGGTCCAACTATGCTGAGTGCTTACACCATGCAGATTGTGTAACAAATGAGTTGAATACCTTCCTGATGCAAATGCCGCCACAATGTAGTCCTATGCACAAGAAACAATGAGACAATTCTGCTGAACGAGAATTAAGCCAATATTTTACCATTAAACTTTCAATTACTTCTAACATATTATTCATAAAGTATGCTGAAAGGAAAGATGCTGAAATGATCACCAAATATCAAATAAATAGCTTGAATGATCCAGGGGAGTTTCTTGGCAAATTTCTTGAATTTATAATAATTGTCTTTAATGCCAATAAAAGAAAAAAATCTACAAATTCTTTTTTTCTTAACTAGCAAAATTAATGTCAACCATAACATTTGATGGGAACACTATGGTATATCCAAATGGAAGTCATGCATTGGTTAGAATACAACAATCATGATATTTATTTTTTTTTTTTCAATAGGAATGATTTAGATATAAAAATTACAGCTTGAATTACTGGTATAATAATATTATAAGAAGAAGAAGAGGAATACCAAGGGACATAAAAAAAATCTAATAATATTTTTTAATTTTGCCTTCTGGGCTAGCTTAGTGTGACTTTTAAAATATGACAATATAATACTTTTAAAATAAATGTGTGTTTTTAAAGAGAGAAAATAAACAATTAACCTGCCTCTAAATTTTTTTTATTCTAGTCAAGTATATATATATATATATATATATATATATTTGTGTGATTTTGTACTTCGTCAAAATGTTTAATTAGACGGACATTTGCACCACCATGACTATTGTGAGAGGCACATGTATTACCACAGTGTACTACTACTGTACAGTACGTACCAAAAACGCTAATGAATATATCGCTTTCACGAGACGGGTAAAAATGAAGTTCAAAATTAAACTGACTAAAGACAAAACATAGTTCTTTTATTCAAATTAGATAAAAAATAAGAGGACATTCAACTTACAAGATATACACTTAAATCGTCATTTCAAATCAAACGAAGAAAACCGCAAAACTAAAGTTCTTACTTGAAGTTTAACTGAGAAGACAGCAATGCAACAGCATGCGATAAATTTGTTTTTGTTATTGACTGACGTCACATGCGCATTTGCAAGTGCGCGGTGGACCTTAGACTTGAGTCTTGGAACTAACGTCGACCGTGGCGGAGGCAATCGAATGTGGTCAGAGGTAACTTGACACGATGAAGATAGGCTATAGTGAAGAGGTTAGTGTCAAGTTATCTCTGAAGCTCAGGGTGCAGTAGGCCTACTCAACTGAAATTAAATTGGCATATTAATTGGGTGTATATCAAATTAAGATACTTAATGCTAAAGTGAATCAATTTCTAGAAAAGGTTCACCTATTATTTAATTAAAAGCAAAATCCCTCGTGCAAATTCTTGTATTGTTGATGTTCTACTGCTGCGCCATCTATTAACAACTGTCCTGATTTGCCTGTGTCCTGATTTGCCGTTTCCGCCATTTTCTGACCTGGATTGCCGGTTTCTCCTAAAGCGAGTCTGCGTCCTCTCGGCGACTTTACGCCTTCACTGTTCACATCTATCGCAATCGCATGGTAGATTTTTTTTTTTTTTTTTTTTTTTTTTTTTTATTGGGGGAAAACTTTTGAAACATAGGATATATTTATAGTCATAACATCAAACAGCAAAATATTGAATATATGGTTTACATGTATTTATTCCATTTAAATAAGACAGAGAGACAGAAATTTAAATTTAAGTATTAAAACAGATTTTATTTTTAGCTAACAATATAGGCCTATAAGCCTATATTTTCCACACTTTTTCTTAGAGACCATTCTCACAGATATTTGGATCGATCTATCTCCCTGGGGAGTCTCACTAAATTGCTGTCAACTTGACCGCTTAAATGTCTGTTGCGCCTTGTATGTGAGGGGTAATTATCCTTACCTCCTACTGTGTAGTTGATTCAGTAGGCGTGACAGACATATAAGCCGGTTATTTGTTAGCAATTTAGGGAGACTCCCCAGGGAGATAGACCAATCCAGATGGATCGATCTAGGTATGGCAACCCAGTCTTACTTTGTTTAAAATATACTTTTTACCAAGTTTTGTTTCTTATTCATTCTGTCAATTTTTTATGTGCAAGTCTAATTTCATAACTATTGCGTGGATCCAATGCTGCACTAATGACTTATTAATTGTACAATTAATTTCTTTACCTCAGAGTTATACCAATACAAAGAGGCCGCAACGTACATTACTTGAGAACTATTGGACCACAACATAATATGACCTCATAAAATATCTTTTCGATCTTTATGTCGGACACGACAAAGGATGCACGGCTGAAATACATTTACCTCGACTCTGTTAACCATATGTCTGGTTAAATAAATAAATTGACCAATTTGTTAATTATAATTTCATAAGCTGTTCTCTTCCAAAGATACCTTTGCATAAAGTAAATATACATTGTACATGAACTGTATGCTAGAAGGGTTTAAGAGCTGTAGTATTGCTCTGTTTAAAATTAGTACATAGGCTAAGATTAAGCTTTATACAGCCCCCCCCCCCAAAAAAAAAAAAAACAAACAAATTATAAATAAATAAAATAAATAAATAAATAAAGTCTACGTTTTCTACAGTGCCAATTCAAATTTGAAAAAGAGCTATTTTCCGTCAATTTCTTGAAGGGTAAGTCTAAATAAATAAAATAAAATAAAAAAAGCCATAATTTTTTATTAAATCCTACAAAGGTCCATCAAATTTCAAGAAATCTGCTGGACTTTAACTTCAATATGTGCACGATCTTTTCGCACAGTTTCACTTTTCTGCCTAAAAGTTATATACATGTATATATATATATTTAAAGGATTTGCTNACGGAAGACCGTCACAGACAAAGAAAGATTGTCAACGAGAGCTGCAATTTTGGTGAATCCCACGGCAGCACACCGAGGCATAACGAACTCCTCAACTCCGTTCAACACAACTTTCTTTAACTTCTCCGTCTGTATGCACCATATGCAGCTCAGTCGAGTCTCATAGCCCTTTATCGGGATTGTCGTCACAGTACCACGTGACCCAGATCTGTTGCTTCGTTTATGCATATCCTTCGTATTTCCGTGACGTCATTCCGTGAGTGCGGGACTGTAAATAAATTGCGTTCCGCCATTTTTGTAGACAGCATCAAAAGCACGAGCCTCTTTCAGTTCATTTTAAAGTTAGAATGCCAGTCATTTGTGGTATTGTTGGTTGCTCCAACCGCAGCGATAGAGAAAGGGATGTTAGATATTTTAAGGTACCGAAAGTTATTTTAGGTCAAGGGGAAGAAACAAAGAAATTATCGGAAGAACGTAGACGACTATGGAAAGCAGCTATCCGTCGGAAAGATATTACCTCAGAGGAGAAATGGGATAGAACACGCGTTTGTTCAAAACACTTTGTTGGAGGTAGGTCTTTAGCTCATTGTTATATACCATCTGATCACTGAAGCAAAATAGGTTATACACTAAAGATGTTTTACACTTGTTCATTCATTTTTTCTCACCCTGCTTCAATTTATGTACAGTAAGGAAGCAGTAATATCTCTTCAAAATGGCTTTGTAGATTTACTGTTTATTATGCTAATGTGTTATCAGTGCATATATGGTTCATAGTTCATCTGTCTGCAGTTGTATTTGTTGTTATTTATAGGTGAAAATGCATATCTTCACGACAGGAATAGCCCATCATGGCTGCCAACAATTGCTTTGGGTCACTCAAATACAAAGCCAGAGCCATCAAATGCAAGGTACCATCGTGCTAAGCAACGTGAAGGTAAAAGGAAAGTGTCAGATGCCATCTCATCACTGTTGACACTTAAAAACCCACGCCTTGCTGCTGCAAACATCATCCATGAACATGACAGTGCAATGATTTCACATGCCTCACAGGTAACAGACAGTCTGGAAGCACCTGAGGAACCAGTGTTCACTACTTGTGAAAGAGGGACTCAAACTGACAGTTTCATATCTACATCTGAGGCAGGGACTCAAACAGAGTTGACATCAGAATATATTGATAAAATTGAAAATGACAACAAGGCACGCGTATTAGAGGCCAGCGCTTTCAAAAAGCATGCATTTTCAAGAGAGGGTCTTTATAGTTTTTCTGCTTTTGAAAATGATGACAAAAAGGTATCTTTCTATACAGGACTGCCTGATTTAGAAACTTTAAAAGTGGCATTTGACTTGATTGAAAACCAGATGAGTAATTCTTCAAAATGTCTTTCAAAGGAAAATCAGTTCATGTTATGCATGATTAAGCTCAGGTTGAATTATTGCTTTCAAGACATAGCTTACCAACTTAATGTATCATTATCTACAGTTCAAAAATGTTTTCATTCTGCCCTTGATCTTTTGTATGTAAGATTAAGTTTTTTTGTGAAATGGCCAGAAAGAGAAAGTTTAAGAATATCAATGCCAATGTCGTTCAGGAAAGAATTTGGAACGAAAGTTGCAGTAATTTTGGATTGTTTTGAGCTGAAAATAGAAAAACCCAGTGCCCCCCTCAGCAAAGTGTACACATATTCAAACTATAAGCACTACCACTCAGTAAAGTATCTGATTGGCATTGCCCCGCAGGGTGTCATTACTTTTATTTCTGAGGGTTGGGGTGGGCGCACATCAGATAAGCACATCACTGAAGAATCTGGGATTTTGGAGAATCTTTTGCCAGGTGACATAGTAATGGTAGATCGAGGTTTTACTATTGAAGAAAGTGTTAACTTCTATCAAGCTGAATTGGCCATTCCAGCTTTTACCAAAGGAAAGTCTCAGCTACACCCCATGGATGTAGAAGGAACACGCAAAATTGCAAACGTTCGTATACATGTGGAAAGAGTAATTGGTCTTGTATGTCGCAAATTTGGCATCTTAGATGGTACAATACCAATTGACTTCTTGAAACTTAGAAATGGAGAAACTGTTCCGACTATTGATAAGATTGTACATGTCTGCTGTTTCCTCACGAACCTGTGTCCATCAGTGGTGCCCTTTGATTAGTAGACAATTATATGATTCAGCAGTGTTTTACAAAATATATTTGTTTCAAATGCAATTAAGTATGAATGTAAGTTAGATTAAGACAATCCCAGGCATTCATGCGGATGAACATGTTTACTGTATACCTGATCGGTTTTGTTGAAACATACTTTTGTTACAATAGTATTTGGTATAATCATATGCGGGATAGTAAGTGAATAAAGCCATTCAAGTGGTTATACAGAGAAAAGTAAAATCAAGTGTGAACAATCTTGACGAGCTATAACATGCCAGTAATGATCTGCATAGGATATTGATAATGATGCTGATGTTGCAAGTAATTTGCTCTCTGAAGTTTTTTTTTTTTTTTTTTTTTTTTTGGTGAGGGGGGGTTAAATTATGGTATGTTAACAGTTTGAGTGATATATCTGTTGGAAGTTATCTTACATATTGATCAATAAATATGTTATAAATTGCATTATGCCTCAAGTCTAATTAAGCCTCCAGTGATATTGCAAGCAGTTTTCTATGAATAGTTTACTTTTAAGGACGGTCAGCTTTCAGATAGCTTTTTTTAAAAAATATGAAGCCCAGTCACTTTTCAAAATCGATATAAATGAAACGTTTATTGCACCCTTCATCACAATGACATGAGACTGTATTCTGACCCTCTTATACAATAAGAATTAGAAAAAAACATACTGGAAAAAATTATATAAATATAAAATTTAGCACCATTCCTTTATGGCAACCTCAGAAACAATTATGGTACCCTTCATGACAACGACATGAGACACCCATGTTGAGACTGATACTGTATTCTGATACTGTTATATATTTGGAATAAGAAAGAAAAAACATTGGGAAAATGGTCATCTTATATACAAAAAGGCACAAAAATTAAATATAGCACCACTCTTTTATGGCAACCTAATAAACAATAATTATTGCACACTACATCACAACAAAATGAGACACCCATGTTGAGACTGATACTGTTATACATTCAGAGTTGGGAAAATAATGACAATTTTATTTGGGATTCCTAAGTGCATTTGCTGCAAAACCATTTCTTCCCCTTTCCAGGGGCCCTTTTCATATTTATACATGACATGTGGTACCAAACAATGTCACAACTGTCATCATCACAGGCTATCATTCGACGGCCATCATCGACACCACCACAAACACAATATGTGGGCAATTCCTTGGTGGATATCCTGCGGGAAAAAAACCCACATACCAACTCTGGCATAATAACATTTCTATGAAATTCCTGCCCCTTATGACAGATGATGGACCACAGTTCTTTATCTTGGTAAATTCTTTCCAGATGATGGGCAAAAGGGCTCCATACAAAAAAATCACAATACTGGCGGTCTGCCATGAACAACTGTGTCTGTACTTGATAATAATATCCAGATTCCCTTTTCAATTTTCCATTTACCAAATAAGGCATTTCAATAGTACCGCTGTCCCTCATGTTGTAGGGGCATTTAATTTCTAACACCCCAGAGCCGCAGCAAGAACAGTTGATGAGGCCGTCTGGAGACGCTCCAAATTCTGGATGGTCCGGGTTCAGCAAAAGACCACTTTCCAGCATTGAAAAACCCTGGTGGTTATTCCGTGCCAAACTGAGATAATCTTTCTTAGCTACCGGCTCCTTCTTCTTTCCCCACTCCAGTGCTGCACTGCTGACCTGCAATGGCTGGCAGATAGACTTGTAAATCGACTTTGATGGTGTTTCAGTGCTGGTGTGAGTCACTTGATAAGTCTTGGAGGCTGTGATGCGGCCAACCCTGTATTTCAGCCACTTTTTAGACCTGGCCTGTTTGCGTGTCTCTGCCTCTACGAATGCAGCTTGAGCTGAAGTGACACTAATGTCTATGCTATCTACATGTGTCAACACATCATCTAATTCGGCATCTAGGAGGTCTTCATTATGGACAGTTTTCATGTCAATGGGCCAGTCTCCTGTAACTGTCTTGGGCTCAAAGTGTTGAGCATATCCTTCTGTGGTTGCTAAAACTGCAGCCCCTTTTCCATTTCGGTGCAGGCGCTGGTATGCACTTGCCATCTCCTGTTTAGTTGGAGAAGAGAAGTTGTTCATGTTGGGCTCATTTGTGCAAGTTTCGCTGGTTTTCCTTTTTTTGGACGCTGACTGAAAGTCTATATTCCTTATCCGTTTGTGTGGGTGCTCCAACTAAAAGTAAAAATAAGGAATTAAAACAAAAAATATAAAGAAGTGACAAGTTTCTCTAAATATTTTTGTTATATTGAATTAGTGTGTTATTTCTTTTACATATCCAAACATTTATCATAACAAGATTATATCCAAAATTACTTATACATGTACAGATTAATTATGAATAAGTTTTGCTGTGTGATTAATCTAAACAATACTTGTAAAACTCATATCAAAAGTATTGATTGAAATCCTACATATCAAAAATCCATTTATATATATATATATATATATTCACATAATTTTCTATTTCACACTGTACCTGAGTTGACGACGGCATCATCCAGTAGGCAGGCACGTCTGTAACTGATGCCTCTTGTCTGATTTTTGTCCAAGTTTCTGCTGCAAACAACAAAGTGGCTATATGGCTACAGGCTTCCCCCAGTCCAGCCATGCAGGTGCAGTGACCACTCCTTATGTCCCCTTTGTTGCTAACAATCACCCAGGGCTCCAACGGTTTCTCCCTGATACGCATTGAATGATAGACCTAAAATATCAAAAAGTATTTCATTCAACTAAAAATCTAAATTAAACCTTAAATTTGGGATATCATAATTTATTAATCCGAGTGCTTGAATATATGCAAAACACCTTTGAAAGTATACATTAAAGTCTTCCATATTAATAAATTGTTTAAATACATCATGCTTGCTTTCCATGAAGGCTATGTAACTTGTCCAAATGATCATCCAACCCAGCAAAGGTTATTTTCGCTAATGATATTCTTAAGTTGGAGGCGATTGTTAACAAATGTGAGAAATAAAGAAAATTTCATTTTCTGTGTCAACTTCTTGGTTCTCTAACAAGAATTTTGTCAGTGTTACATAAAATGCAAGACTACTAGTCTGTACTGCATGTGACAAACCATTATTCAACCACCTATTCAAGTCCAATAAAATCCCTTTACATACTTTTACTAGGTTAACATATGGACAGTTTTGCTTACCTTAGCTTTGAGGAGATGAAATGAGTTGATTTCTTTGTGCAGGATTTCCTTGATCCATCCGTCCTGGAAAAGTTTATATGCCTCCAGAGATTTGTAGCTTCGGAGTTCATCTGTTGTATAGTAAGACTTCCTAAATATCAAAAAGTCCACTAGATCAACGGTGGTTACATGAGGCCAGGATTTCTTGTCTTTGTCTAGGTCTTTCTTTGCAATGCAATATGGATCCAATCCGCCGATATCCCTAATTTTCTCGTCATAGCGGCGCTGTACATCCGATTCCAGAGAATCCCTGTACAAGCTCGACATAACAACAACGTCCACTAAACAATCAACTATAACAACAATGTAAAACAGTAACAAATAAACAGAAAATCAATGAACGACTGATGCTTGTTTGTCTACAAATATGGCGGCGGTTTAACTAATGAGCGCATGTGCACACCAATTGGTGACGTCAAAGAACACGAAGGATTGAGGTGAGGTTTACTAAAACGCTTTTTGTCTACTAATAGATTGTTTTTATAATTTTTAAATGACGGGGATCGATTAAAACATAACTGTAGTGTATAGATTAAGTGCTGGATCTTCAGAATTCGAGAAATGGATTTTTATATGATTATTGTCCTTTAAATATGCTCCCAATGGCTTCTGAAGCATTGGATGGACACTTGCATACGTCACGAAAAAAAGTCAATTTCCCAAACACATTCTTCCTTTGGGGTTCCTTGATTTTTGCTGTGATTGTTCCCCACTGTTCACCAATCATTTGAGGTTTGTTCTGGTACACTTTATGCTTGAGATACACCCACACAGAAAAAATCTGCAGGAGGTTCAAGTCCTTTAAAATGCCGTGCCCTCTCAACATCACACTTCCTGCTGCTCAGTCTCTCCTAAATTGGTATGTTGCAGTGTTAAGGAGGTTTTGGACATTACTAGGATGATATTCGGTCAGAGGGACAGATCAAGATAGACAGTGGTTCCAGGTCCATCGCTACACATCAAATGACTCCCTAGCCTGACTGAGAGAGCGATTTCGGGAGTGGCACCAACATATTAATTGTTAATAGGTATAAATTAATTCAAATGAATAAAACGCCACCAATTTGTTAAACGCAAGCTTTATTTCCTTAAGAGTCAACAAGTGGGAGAATTGTTTTTGTGTTACACAATGATATAAAGTGACAAAAGTTACATAACTTTAGTTGATTAGTTAACGTACAATCAAAAAGTAGTAATTTATCATGTTTATAACAACCGCAAACTGGCAACTTTCCGAGTATGATACATTGTAAATAATATTTGTGATATTTGAATGAAAACAAGACTCGCAGAGATGGCCTTATAAGGAAATAATGAATAGCTGATTAAAAAGTGAGAATGGAATATAGAAACAATGCCTGGTAAATGCATGATCTGTGCTGAGAAATAGAGTATATAAACACCTTTATGTTCCTAGGAAAGGAGAAGAAACCTATGAAAGCTCCAATAAAAGAATTGCTAATTACTGTTACAATTTTAACATTGTCTTGGTTCACTTACCAGAGATTAGCTATCTCTTCACTAGCTTACTACATGTAGCTTATTATTACTAATCCTACATAAAGGGGGTTATAAATTAAACCTCCCTAGCCATTCGGTAAGTTAGTTGAGTATAGCTCCTCAAATCTGGCATTGTTTCACTTTGAATAATATAAGTGCGGAGTACATAACTACTGTATATGTGACAGGTCATATTCCACTCTAGTCATGTTACTTCATCATACATGTAATGCCCCTGTTCCACGCCAATTACAAATTCCAGGAACTGCCAGAAATTGGGTAATTTTATAAATCGTGAGGAATTGTGGAATTTTGCACATTTCTGGTAGAAATCTTGACACGTACTACAGTTACTGATTTATTAAGATAGACTAAAGAATATTTGTAGGATTCTGATTTAACAGCAGGTTATTGTCAAGAAACGAATACTTCACGAATATTAGGATTAAGTTAAAAGAAAGTTAAGTATCTGCCACGTGCATGCACCTTCGTTTCTGGCACAATTATGGATGTAATCTAGACTATTCTTGAAATTTTGAGGAATTTTCCCTCAAAACAGGTATGAAAAACCCCCAACTCTGCTTGACAGAATCGCAGTCAAATCGTGCTCAAACAAATGCTTCATGATTCCCAGATAAAGGAGAGAATACATAGGAATGGTTAAGAATGTACTAGGAATCAGTTATGATTATTTGGGAGTTAGAGACCAAAATTTTGAACAGCTCAAAGCTTTTGTTCCTATTTCAACTCTCAATTGTTAGAACTGACTGAGACTGTATAAGAATTGATTACGAAAGAGCTGAGTAATAAGTTACCACAAATAAAGTAAGAACCCTGGAATTTATCAATTCCTGGCGGTTTGTGGAATTCGTAGTTGGTATGGAATACAGTAGTATGGACCTCCCAATTGAGGTCTTTGCATTGTTACAAGTAACAGCATAATGGTGAAGTAATTAACCCTTTTAAGATCAGTTTGTTTGTATGGCACTTCTAATTATAATGATCAAAGTACATGTATATCATATAACCTTGTGATGCAAATGTAATTTCAGAGATAATTGCATACATATTTAAAGAAAAAGCATTTAGACTGATAAAAATACTTAGCAAAGGAATGCTTTATTTAAGGTGTGGCATTGAAAGTTATCAGTGTTTCATTTGTTTGAATTTATGAAAATCTGTCCATATTTTTAAGAGTATACTGGTCATTTACATTACAAATAACTGGATTTTATTCAAGTTAATAAAATATTGAACTCAGTACATTTTTCACTTAGAGTACATCTTAAAGGGCAACTCCATGGGTTTTACCCACCAAAATGGATTTTCCTAGGGAAATTATCAGTTTTCTTGTACTCACTAATCATTTATCTATCCCTTAATTCTGCAGTTGGGTTCCACCTTTAATTGAATTTATAAAGGTGGATTTTGTTTAAAATGACAAGCCAGACATTATTACCAGCGACAATCGACAAGAACTTAAGCTTCGATGGAAATATCAACATCAGGTATGCTCCTGAAAAATATTTAATGGGTTAAATCATTTTTAAGGTGCACGTAATGTCTTACAGAAGGCTGTGAATGGTAAAATTATCATTTTGGGGATTTTCAAACCCATGGAGTGTACCCTTAACCTATCACAGTGTGGAACATTGATGACCTAGATTTTGTGGCCCGTAACACAACATATACCTTTGCTTTCTTCGTAGCAAATGTACCTGTAAAATATGGCATACTGTAGGTACTGAGCTTGCTAGTGCCCCCATTTTAGTGTGCATTGGACAGATCACCCAAAAGAGGGAGGGGGGTTTTAGTGAGCTTAGCACACATTCTTTATTTTATGTTTGAGATAATTATCTGTCCACACAAGAAGTTGTCGGCTTGTGACTTCAACCCCCTTGTGCACATACCGAATACATTTATTTATGACAGATCAGGAAACCCAGGTATCGGTTAGATTCTTTTCAACAATACAAAGGTTTACCTCAGTGAAATATAAACAAGAACAAGCACATAAAAATATATCAAAAGAGATCCCTTAAGTAAAAATAGTGAAAAAAAATAGTGAAAAAATTTCAAAATCTAAAATCCGGCTGTTGGTGAGGCAAATATATATATATATAGATGAAACACATAAAAAGCACATAAAATATAGCCAAAAGAAAATGCAGGTCAATACTGATCTGGACAGAGAAATAGAGACATGTATTCTTATGAAAGGTAAATGTCTGAAAGCTCCAACTCATATTGGTGTCATCACTAACAGAATTACTAATTACTATTACATTATTAACATTGTATTCAAGTTTTAATGCAATAAAAATATGAAAACCAAATAGTAAAAAATATCAAAACCAAATGGTAAAAGATATAAAAACTAAAAAAAATCCAGGTACTATATGTAGAGAGACAGATCTATTGCCATAAAAATTCCCTATATAAAAAATGTACAAGCATATAAAATAAATTGAGGGATTCCCATAGCTAAAAAATAATAAATAAATAATAATAATAAATATCATAATATAAAATAAGTATAATAGCTTAATGGAATGTAGGAAGTATAATAGGGTAACCACATAATATCAGGAATGTAGGAAGTATAATAGGGTAACCACATAATATCAGGAATGTAGGAAGTATAATAGGGTAACCACATAATATCAGGAATGTAGGAAGTATAATAAGGGGGGCACATAATATCATTAATATAAAGCTTACGTAGAGAACAGGGTCAGTTTATGATGTGGTCTGGAAGAAAAAGAGAGAATGGCTTGGTTGTGAATGCAGCCTCAAGATGAACTGAAAACAACTAGAGAAGACAGCACAAAACAGAGAAGGATGAATGGATCCTGAAGGTGGCCTCTGCTCAAAGAGGGGCTAAAGGCATAAGAAAGTAAGATTAATATTATAGTAGGAGATATTGAGGTCGCATGAGATACATTTACTGAGCTTTTACACACATAAACTGAGGATGAAGTCAAATACATTGTAAAAGTAGGAGATAAAACCTTAATTTAAGTTGGTCCCAATGTAAGTACTTTTACATGCTGAAAGTATCCTTTAAAACTTATAATTACAGTCGAATTCAATGAAAAACACACAATAAGAGATTCAGGATATATGATTATAACACACAAACATACCTTAATAACAGAGCTTGATTAAAACTATGTACAAAGTGAAAGTTTCCAAAATTTAACTTAGCCATGAAATCAAAACTAAGATACAGTATTGTTTTTTACCAGTTTTGTCAAGTGCAGTTATAACAAATTCAACACAAGTAATTTTTAAATACTTATAAGAAAAGTTTTCAAAACAGTTTTAACTATAAATGTGGTTTGGATTTTTTTTAAACTTTAACAGTTAAATATCCCAGATAGCAATGAGCGGTCGGGCCGACGTCGGCATTGGTCGGCACGGTCGCGGTCGGCAGTCGTTGTCGGGCCGACGTCGGGCCACTACTAGTGACCCGACGTCGGGCCGACGACTGCTTCACGCCGTCGGCCCGACGTCGGTATAACGGTGGCTCA